TGTAATGTACTAGCTGTTACTGCCAATATAAAAGTATTACATATATGGGTAGACACCTTAATAAAATTAAACTAAGAGAGACTGACGGGAATTATTTTTATTTTTTTCGGAACATTGCAAAGTTCCGTCTACTTTTAGAAACACAAAATGAAAAAAGAACCTTAGCAACTATTCGAATGAATTAAAATACTTCCCGTCAGTTCCAAGGCATTTAAAAAAATTCGTATAATTTTCTTCACAAAATAGATATTATAAATTGTGCAATTCGCGAATAGTTTTCGTCACTCGAAGATTTCGCCTCAAATAGGTTTTTTATTTGATACTAGCCAATGCCCGCTTACTTCGCGACGCCTAATAAGAGCTTTTGCGTTGACCAATGCAAAAGAGCGTTTAAAAACAAAATTAGTCCGTAAAGTCAAAATTTTTGATTTAAGTTGAAACCACTAAGGTGCTGTATCCTCCTCACACATAGGCCAATAATAGTAACGCTGTGATACCATATGGAATACCAATCCCTTTCGGTGTCATGAGCTCTACCGTTGGTCTTATTTCCACCTGTGAGATCTCTGCCGAGCAAGCGTAATCTTTTTGTATGATCTTGCAACAACAACATTGGTGCGATGCGTATGCCAATAAAAGTTCTTATAGGGAAACTCAAAGCACAGAAGTGCGTTTTCTGTTATAGGAGGGCCAAGAATCCTCGCTGTCCCACAGGATAAAAAGTTTTCCGGTACATTGCTAAATGAGTCGTGTGATCTCTTAAGTAGCTTTCAAATGAAGCTATTGATATACCTACGGTGATCTTTTCTTGTTAATTCACCACTTTTACAATTCATGGTAAAATTTATGAACTGATTTCTGGGTAGATGCAAGACCGCATGCGGCGAGGGCGTCAGAAAAACTTAACCTCATCCTTCATTTAGACATCTGAAAACTAAATTCGTATAACTTAAATATAGGGCCAAAGCAGACCAACCACACGGGGTTTCTATACATTTCGGCTGCAGCGCCATCCACTGGGTACATTTTCTGCAAAACCATTGCTTACCATAAAATGAATACGTGTTATGAATTTCAACCTTAACTCCAGAGGCACTAATCGGGTAAATTTTTATCAAAAGAATTTTCCATCATACAGGTACATAGCTCACACTTAAAATTTGAACGAAATCGGTTAATAAATACGATTTTATAAATAACTCTACTCCAGCACCACTTATCGAGTTTTCTAGTAGCATGTAATTGGACCACATATGTATGTAAGATAACCTCCGACAATCTGACGGAACTCTATTCAGTGTTTTTTGAGTTTATTTCGAACAACGAAAACGGCTATCATTTTATGCAAATAGGTATGTAGATAGGTCAGTTTATAACGAGACTCGTAAAAGCAAAGCTCCATTCTTTGTGAAAAATTTAAAAAAATTCTTCAAAATTTTCACATAAATTTTAACTTACTGAAAATTAAAGAAAAGTTACAATAGTTCCATGGGATTTAGAAATCTAGGAGAAAATGGTTCCCAATCGAATGATACTTGCGCGTTTACGTAAATGTATATCGATCCAGCCTGTCCAATAATTACCACTTTTCGCCATAACTACAGTATTGATAACATATGTATGTAGCTGCGTAGAATTTCAGGACGTTAGCGTAAGCAGTTCCAGATATAAGCTATATGAGAAGTTCAGTTTGTATGGAAGGAAGGAGCCACGCCCGTTTCCCAATGCATTTGCAATGTATGCATCAGTGCTAAGTCTCAGTTCCCCAGCGTCATTGGTTTTAGAGATGTATTGGTTTTTTACGTTTTAGTCTGTATAAGAACTTTAGGAATATCCCGAGCTACATACCGAGTAAATTTTTGGTCAGAATATATATTTTCAACGTGTTGCAAATATGAAACAAGTCGATGCAGCCGTTTAGTAGTTTAGTGAAATACATTGTAAAGAGAACTTTATGAAATTGTAAAACGTGACGTCTCAGATTTCTTAATTTTTTGGCAGCAACAACGAAAACTTTAATTTTTTTTTTGCGAAAAACCTTCCAAACAGAAATAAAAAAAAATTAAGTTTGTGGTTATAACAAGGCGAAACTTTGAGAACGATCCGCTGCTCTAAATATAAACAACGACGCACTGGAAAAAGTTAATACGTTCAAATACCTAGGAATAATGATCCACTATAAACTAAACCAAAAAAAAATGGATTCTATATTTTCAATTAGAGCTCTAGCAATATGTACATCGGTGAAAACTGCATTTAATTCCATACATTAGCTTTTGCGTGATACAGACAAACATACCAAAATTCTATATTTGGCTTCTGTTGATCTAATAAACCCCCTATTAATTTTTCTTTAACATCTATTATGTACAGATATCGGCCTGTTGCAATTTTATTATTCTCAAATACTCTCGTTTGATACCCACATGGCAACACTTAGTTTTATATTATAAATTTAACTGAATTAAAGTTTTTAAATATGTGGCAACCCGCTTCAAGAACATTTTCAAAAGTAAGCTTCCTAATCCTATTTAGTTTAATAGTCGCATTGCAATATTTCATTTATTTAACACATTTTGATGAATACAATTTTTCAATCAATTGGCAAATCCTCTAAAAATATTTTCAGCATTAAAATTTCCTAGCCTCTTTAGTTTGATGCCAATAATGCAATATTTAATTTATTCTATCAATTAAATTAAAATAAAGTTTTCAAATAGGTGGCAACCTTCCACCAAAATATTTTCAGCTGTAAGCCTTTGTAAATTTCTTTCTTTTGACAGCCATATTGCAGTATTCACTTTACCGTAACAATTGACCTAAACTGAAATTTTAAACACAGGTGGCAACTCTCAAATTTTTTCTTCTATATTGGAAGCTAGATCTCTAGCTTTACATCGGTGAAAACTGCATTCAATTCCATGTTTTCGACTGATGCGCGTACAAATATACAGACAGACAGAGATACAAACATTCTAAAAATTGTTTATTTGGTTTCTGTAGCTTTAATAAAAACCCACCATATTAATTTCTATAAGGTACAGACATCGACCTGTTACAATTTTATTATATGTATAGATGTAGATATAGATTTCATTTATTTTATCAATTTAATACAATAAAATTTTTCAAACAGGTGGCAACTCTAAAAAAATATTTTTGACTGTAAGCCTTCTTCAGCCTCTTTCTTTTGACGCCCATATTGCAATATTCATCTTTTCTTATCAATTTACCTAAACTCCAATTTTCAAACAGGTGGCAACTCTCTAATTTTTTTCTTCCTATATTTTAAGGTAGACCTCTAGCAATATATCGGTGAAAACTGCATTCAAATCCATGCATTCGTTTTCGAGTGATGCGCGAACAAACATACAGACAGACAGACAGACAGAAATTCTAAAAATGGTTGATTTGGCTTCTGGTGCTCTAATAAAGACCCCCCACATTAATTTTCCTTAATATCTATAATGTACAGACATCGACCTGTTACAAATTTATTATATGTATAGATTACATACAGCTCGCGGGCATAGGCTCTGGCAGACGCTGATTTAGTTTGATGGTACTCGTTCTATCTACTTTGTTCAGTTATGGTACCTGAGAAAAAAGCTTGAGAACCGCATCTTTTTCAAATCATGTGTTCTATCATGGATAGTTAATGCTGAATTTACATGAGGCGATTTTCTAGCCAATTCAACATTGCTTAAGAAAAATAGCTCGTGTAAATGGTGATTCAAAAATCACTAGACAGCAAGTCAACTTTTGAAGGCGATTATTGCCTGTCAAAAAATCGCCTCATGTAAAGGCAGCTTAAGCTTTCGCTTCTCACGCGCTTTACACATACACTTACGCAGATGTTTTAGTATTAGTGTGGCCGACACTGCTGTAGAACTTTTATTATGCGTTTGGTAATTTTAATATTTTAGATGAATATCGCCAATATAAATTCCTCTTACACTTTATGTTAAAATAATTAAGATTTTTCAATCCCTTTGTAGCCGAGCAGTTCTCCCGAATATATCAAAAGCAGGAGAGTTTGAAGGACCAGTTACTACCAGATCTTACGAAAGTTTCTGCTGTTGATTTCGTCTGCGCTAATTCTGGCTTGCAACGAGTTCCAAGGAATATATTCCTATTCGTTTCCGACAAGTAAGTTTTTATTATTTTGGTATGTACATGTGTATAGGATAAGCAAAATTTTTTTTCGCTCCCCGTCCGTTCGTCTTAAGATAAGATCTGTGTAAAAAAGCCAGTACTTTCTAGTGGAAACTAGCCATCCTAGATTGATTTAAAAGTTGAAAAAGTGATCTGATAACTATCCAACTTATTATCGTTCTGTAAATCTTAAACTAAAATTCGCTACTAGTGTAAATTTATTTGGAATAAAGTGAGAAATATTTCTTGCAGAAATATTTTTTACTTTTTATTTTTTTAATTTTAATAGGGTTTGAAGGAATATAATGTCAAAATTCCTTTGAGTGACTCTCATATGGAGGCGTATTTTCTACTTTATTGTAAGGCGCAAAAGGCATTTTTTCAAGGAGTGTATGGGCGTATTCGAAAACGTCAAAGTACAAAGATTCGGTCATTGATTTCCAAACCGCAAAAGAAGAAAAATTGTAACTTGCGCAATCTAGCTGAAAACTAGCATCTAACCGTGGTTGGCCACATTTGGCATTACAATCTATGTTTAGGCCTCCGCCTAAATAGATTAGAAAGAGGACACCCCTAATGTTTAACATTGTGTTAACATTGCCGCTGTTAACTTTCCCCTCGCTTTCTATTTGTTTCCGTTATTGGAATAGTACTACTTGAAAACATCTTGGCAGGCTACCGCCATTATAATAAAAAACTGTTCACTTACTTCTTTTGCGAGCATCCAGAGAAGAGGACGTGATCCAGCCACCATACTACAGCGTATTCAAAGGTAATCTACAAAAGCAATTTGTATATATATATATATCCACAGCACATTTTTATATGAATAAATCCACATATTTAAATTAATCAAAATACTAATACCAGTTTGTGTTCTTTCTTTTGCGGAAAACAAATCGGCACAACTGGTTCCAATCGTTGTGGCGATTATCACTGGTCCTTCGTCGCCATCCAAGTAAAAACTTATTCTTCACCAGCACCAAATTGATCGCCAACCACTGAGCTCTTAAGAACAAAGAAGCATTGAATTTGTTACGGAAGACGTATCTTTGAGGAGAAAAAGTGACCACAAACCTCTGGATAACTTGTGCGCACATCCATACACATACGAGCCATCTGTACACACAAAAGAAAACTTCTTCTATTAAGATTTTAAAGGTACGTGGTTTAAAATTTAACTGCACTTTATTCATATTGTGAAACTTGATGCCAAAATAAGTGATTGTGAGAAAAGAAAAAAAAAAAAAATAGTAGATTTAATTAGACAAAATACATCGAAACGCGAGTGATTTGTGAAAAACGTTGAAGTTTAAGGGCAACAGAAGTGCTTCGAGTGACACTCACACGCACATACATAAGTGGCCTCCACAGGCATTTCAATAAAGAACTTCAGTGATTGTTGTTGGTTATTTTATTTCTTCTGAATTTGCGTGATTTTAATTTGCAAGACGTTTGCTTTTCGGTGATTAGTTTAATCATTTTAATTTATTAATCACATTTTCTGTGTGACTTGCACCTTTCCCGCCGAAGTTTGCCAACAACAACACTGCACGGTTTTCGGTTTTCATAACCAAACTTTTCACTGCACTCAACCTTGTGAGCTTACAATATTTCACCCTTTTGTACGAACGAATTCCACAAAATCACTTTCGCGTTTGCGTTAAATACAAAAATTATATTTTGGCACCATTTCGAAAAATAATTGCTGTGTACGGTTTTATATATTAGCTATTCGTTTTACATATGTACCTACACATATATGCACATTAAGCGGATACATACATTTATACATATAAAGATTTTTTTACCATTTGGTTGGCGAGCAATATCTTATATCAGTTTATACCTTTGAATCGTTTGAATAAACATATAAATATCACTTATTTATACATTTTTGAGAAAAATTAAACACGTTCGTTTATTAATTCCTGGCTAAATTGCTGGTTACCTTGGTGGGCAGTTCTGCTTTATCATAGCACTGATAAATTTGGTCAGATTAACAGAGGTTTTTGTGTTGTGTTATACATACATATATTAATATTTCAAGTTCGGCATACGTTGAGCTGTTTACCGGTGATATACTTCTGAAAGTTTTGTGAGGTGGTAATTTCGCAGATAATATAAAATCAAAATGGAGACATACATCCGCTTAGCCGATTCGGTCATTGAATTTGACACAGATTTTCTAAGCACTCCCACAAGCGAGCATACCAAACATTCGCTGAGAATCCAGCAAAGCGAGCTTAGTGTCATGTGGGAGAAAGCCAAAGTTTTATTTGACGAACTCATGGCAGCAGAAACGATTACTGCCAAGGATCTTAGTACTGTTACGAAAGAAAAGTAAAACTTGCTACGCGGCTTTTGTGCGGTGTATGACGAAAATTAATGAATATTCGGAAAAGCTGGAAAAGTCAGAAATGGAAAGTGAAGATATGTCACCAGCGTCGCATAGTTTACATCTTCCACCGTGCGATATTGACGTTTTTAAAGGTGACTATCTGTCATGGCCAACTTTTCGTGATATGTTCACGGCCATTTATATTCTGAATAAGCGAATTACACCCATACAAAAACTTTATTACCTCAATCAGAAAACGCAGGGTGAAGCCAGGGAAATCGTAAAGAAGTGTGACTTAACAAATGAAGGCTTTGACATAGCCTGGAAAAATCTTTGCGATAGATACGAGAATAAAAGGATCCTCGTGAATACTCAGTTGAAGATTCTTTTCAACTTGAGTACGGTCGAAATCGAATGCGGGAGTTCAATCAAAAGGTTGCAAAGGGATATCAATAATTGTATATCCTCCCTAGAAAGTCACAAAATTGACATTTCCAACTGGGATCCTATTATTACGTACCTGTGCTCCACTAAATTACCTGAAGAAACCCTTTCTCTGTGGGAACAATCGGTTGAAAATAAAACAGAGATTTCGAAGTGGATAGATAAGGACCGATTCCTTTCAAGTAGGTTCCAAACATTAGAATCGGTATCAGGTTTAAGGGGAATCAAGACTTTAAAGACACCGAAAGTGCCAAGTCACAAGCATTCCTCTGAATCTTCTCATAAGAAACTTGGCGTTTTTCAAACTAGTGTCGCCAAACACAAGTGCAAAATGTGCCAAAGCAACGAGCATAGAATACATATGTGCCCCAAATTTCTAAAGATGTCTGTAGCTGATAGAATATCTTTTGTAAAAACAAACAATAGCTGTTTTAACTGTCTGTCTTTCAGACATTCGGTGTCGAAATGCACGAGTTCTTACAATTGCGCCAATTGCCATTCTCAACACCATACGCTCCTACACAATCAGACAGCACCGCCTTAAACAGCTATAAGGAAAATACTTCAAATCCTGCAGACAACTTGCCATCGACATCCAGGCAAGCACAACAACGTAACCAAGCCTCAAAAGGTAAAGCTAAGCCTGTAAAAAACGTGCAATCACATCACGCGAATACATGCAAAGGTGTTTTACTCGGCACAGCGCGAGTAAATATTCATTTTAATGGCACAGACTTCGCTGCCAGAGCATTAATTGATTCTGGCTCTGAGTGTTCCTTCATAACGGAGAGGCTCAGACGCAGAATCAATTTGCCAACTAAGAAGATGTTGGCACAAGTTTCGGGTATCAACAAGACGGTTTCAGCTCAAGTGAAAGGAGCGTGTTCAATCCAACTGCGGTCACCCGTTGACCCACTTATCTCGATTGATGCCCTAGTCCTTGTTCTTCCAAATCTTACAGGAAATCTGCCGACGTGTGATGTCAGCGCACTCACACAACAAGCGTTTCCTGATCTGATCTTGGCAGACAAAAGATTTTTTGTGAATGAACAAGTCGATCTTGTTCTTGGAGGAGACATATATCCCCAAATCATTCTAGGTGGAATAAAAAAGAATATTTTGAATACTCTTTTAGCACAAGAAACAGTTTTCGGTTGGATACTGACTGGTCGTGCTGATGCAGCCAGCCCAACCAACACCAATCGGGTTTTTTTTATAACGAGGTTGCCCTTGATAAGCAGCTAAGCGCCTTCTGGGAGATAGAAGATTTTCCAAAAAACAAGACACTAACTTTAGAGGACACACAATGCGAGGAGCTGTACAAGCGGACAACAAACCGGAGCCAAGATGGAAGGTACATTGTTTCACTCCCTTTCAAAGCTGAGTACCCAGCTGAAATTCAACTGGGCCCTTCACTGAAACGAGCATGCTCTCAATTTTACAAAAATGAGACAAGACTTACGAAAAACCCAAATCTACAAAAGGAATATAACCGAGTTTTAGTGGAGTACGAAACCATGGGACACATGTGTAAAGTCAACGCTCCTCAGTCGGCGGATGCGGTGGATAACTATTATTTAACGCACCATGCGGTGGTGAAAGAAGAGAGCACATCCACAAAAGTTAGAGTAGTTTTTAATTCGTCGTCTTGTTCGGCTGTTCCCTGGGCCAGTGCTTCAATCTGATCTACCGATTTTGATTCTCCGCTGGAGACTTTTCAAGTACGTCTTCAATAGCGATATTGAGAAGATGTACAGGCAAATCCTTGTAGATGAAACCCAAACAAAGTATCAGAGAATAGTTTTTCGCAAAAGTTCAAATGATGCAATAGGTCTTTATGAATTAAGGACGGTTACTTTCGGTATAAACTGTGCTCCTTATCTTGCGATAAGGACATTGCTTCAACTCGCGGCAGACTCTGAAAATCTCTACCCTACAGCCTCAAATATTTTACGTAAAAATATGTATGTCGACGACGTTCTAGCTGGAGGACATACCTTAGACTCTGCGATCAAAGCTAGGGATGAGATTTCAGCAGTCCTTAAGTCAGCCGGTTTTCCTCTGGGAAAATGGACTTCAAATAGTAACAAAATCTTGCAAGGTATACCAAAACAAGATCTACTGAATGAGGATTTCCTAGAGTTTGAAGATACTAGTAGCGTCAAAGCACTGGGCATAAGGTGGAATGCTCATTCCGACCAATTCTGCTTTATAGCAAAATCGATAGAAGTTAACGTGAACCCAACAAAGAGAGCAATCTTGTCAGCTATTGCGAAACTCTTCGACCCTTTAGGTTGGTTAGCCCCCATAATAATTGTAGCGAAAATCTTAATGCAAAATATATGGTTAGAGGGTACCGACTGGGACGAGGAAGTTTCTTCTATAACTTTGGAAAGCTGGCGAAATTTTATAAAAAATTACGGCGAAATCGATAACATAAGGATACCTCGTTGGGTATCTTTCTCGCCAAAGAGAAAGGTGGAAATTCATGGATTCTGCGATGCGTCCGAGAAAGCATACGCTGCCGCGGTTTATCTACGTGTGGAGACAGAAGAGAAAGTACTTGTTAATCTGCTATTAGCGAAAACCAAAGTAGCTCCAGTCAAAACCATTTCACTACCTAGATTGGAACTTTGCGGGGCAGTTTTACTAGCAGAAATAGTCGAATCGGTGACCAAGAATCTAGAACTAGGCCACCTTAAGATAAACCTTTGGACTGATTCGACAATTGTGCTAGCATGGATTCGAAAGCCCCCTTGTTCGTGGGCAACTTTTGTTGCCCATCGAATTACAAAAATATTAGATAAGGTAGGAAACTCCAACTGGTGGCACGTCGACTCAGCTACAAATCCAGCAGACTTGGCAAGTAGAGGTGTAATAGCGCAAGACTTGGTCAAAAATTCGTTGTGGTGGAAGGGACCTTCTTGGCTTCAAGAAAATAGAGAAAATTGGCCAAGGTAAGAAACAGACTTCACTACCGATATTGAGGGAAAACGGGTGCACGCTCTTGCAACAACAACGACCAATAGTACCAGTGATATTCTCGAACGTTTTTCAAGTTTGTCAAAAGCTGTGAGGGTGATATCTTATATAATAAGATTCTTTCAAAGAACCCATCCTAATACAAAAACTTCTTTTCAGGCGAATTCTTCTTTAATTTCGTCCGACGAAATTAAAATAACGACTACACGTCTGATAAAACTCGCTCAGAAGCAATATTATGGATGTGAATTCGCCAAACTAAAAGCTAGAGAATCCATCGAACCCAAAAGTGAAATACTTCCTCTGAATCCGCTGCTGGACAAGGATGATGTGCTGAGAACGGGTGGTCGTCTTGGTGCATCTCTTGATCTGGCATATAATGAGCGTCACCCCG